CCTCATATATCTACAGATGTTTCTCACACTTGGATGATGATTTGTTTAGGCATATATTTCTGGTTTGGAAATAATTTCCCTCAGAATTTTGAATCTTTCTTTTTTCTGTCTTAGTGTGTTGCTGTTGAAAAATCTAATCTTTGTTCTTGTGGGTTTTTTTATTTGCTTGTTCATTGTATTCAGTGGAATAAATGCTGTATAAAACTATCTATTCACTGTGTCTCCAGTCACAGAATCTAGTATTTTGAGACTGTTCTTTATATGAAAAAATGTTCAGAATCCAGGGTTTATGGCAAATGTAAGACTCATAAAGCCAGTTAGAAAAACGCCTTTCTTTAATGAAGCAATAATGCCTTTTGTTGAACAAGGAAAGTTAAAAATGCGATTCTGCATCTGGTGATGCTTGTTAATCATGTAGATTTCTGGATCCATCCCAAGGCCTGGGATTCTGTACATCTGGTATCCTCTAAGAAATTTCATTTTCTAAGCAGGGGTGACTGTCTTGAGTTATTCTACTAGCCTCCCTTGATTCATACTAAAGAAAGTCTGCGGGCAGTTAGGAAACGACCACTCATTAAACTGCCTCCTCTTTCATGTACACAGATATATAACATCCTTGTATAAAAGAAATCTATAGGCTGTACGCACATTGTTGCATATGGATTTTGAGTCTGTAGAATTAGACTGGCCATACTGTTACACCGTAGGAGCGTTCAGGCTGCTCCACACCTGCCACTAAACGTGTCATAATTATTTATTCACGTGTCTGTCTGGCCAGCACCCTGCACAATCTCAGAAACAGAATTTACTTTCTTTTCTTTTTTGTTTGTGATTTGGAGCCTCACTCTGTCACCCAGGCTGGAATGCCATGGCATGCTCATGACCATCACAGCCTCAACCTGCTGCGCTCAGGTGATCCTTCCGCCTGAGCCTTCCAAGTAACTGGAACTACAGACGCACTACCACACCCGGCTTATATTTTTTTATTTATTATAGAGACAAGGTCTCATCAAGTTGCCCAGGCTGGTCTTGAACCCCTGTGCTCAGGCATTACTCTCGCCTCGGCCTCCCAAAGTGCTGGGATTACAGGCTTGGGCCACCGCGCCCAGCCAGAGTCTACTTTCAAAAAGTTTCTGAATGATCTGTGGGAATGCATATTCTTTTAATAGCAATTTTGTATTCCTTTGTGGTTCTGTGTGCAGAAGCAGTAGGAATGCTTATATAGACCTGGGGTGATTTTTCTTTGTGTTATGGTCTTTGATATGCTTTATATCATGTTTGGGTATCTTTATTCTTTAAGGATTTACATATTGTGGAACAGACAGAATTAGGTTTATCGCTTGAGGCTCCGTGTAAATCAGCTGGGTTCTCTATATTCAGAATTTGATCATTGTTCCTCTAGTTTGAGGTTAGCTTAAAATGTACCATGTTTTTATCCATGAGCCAAGATTTGTTTAGCATGAAAGAAACCAATGCTTTAAAATCTCCTTTGAAACCACTTTCATCAACAACTCTTGGCATGATAGTATGTGTTAATTACATATTCATATTTACTTCATAAAATAATTCTGACTCAACCTTTTACTTTGCTAGCTGTTAATATATGTACATGAAATTTTAAGTTTTAGATTTTCATTTTTAATTTGGGAAAAAGTGTACTATAACTCTGTTGAGGAAAATTTAAAAATGAAAATCACCTATTATCCTTTCATCGTTGCATAAAAGCTACATTCCCAGAACCAATTTATTTTCAGTATAACCAGTGTTTCCTTATCTCTTAATATAATTATGAAAATAGGGGTTTGGCAGTTTGAATTCTCTTGTCATTTCAGACCGTATGGAGCAGACTTTTAAGTGTGCTGTATTGTTTGCATGAGTTTTCAGTGTTTGTTAAATAACCCTTACACATCAAGTGACTTTTTTTTTTAAATGAATGACAAATAATACAAATATTTTTTATTTGAAATGAACAAAAATGCTTACACAGCTGCAGGGGTCCTCAAACTTTTAAAACAGGGGGCCAGTTCACTGTCCCTCAGACCGTTGGAGGGGCGGACTATAGTTTTAAAAAAAAAA